CCTTAAGCCTCCGCTACAATGATTCTCGGTTCTGTCTACAATGGTCGTAGTCGTAAGAATAATCGACTGCGATTGGTCAATTCAGTCAGTCGCATAAGAATTGACCAATCGCAGTCGATTATTCTTACGACTACGACCATTGTAGACAGAACCGAGAATCATTGTAGCGGAGGCTTTATGGTCGAAGAATAATGAAGAAGAATGTGATTGGTCAATTTCTTCCGACACGACTTACGACATCCTATGTAGACCCAGCCTTAATTAAGCCCGTATCAGACTACAGATTGAGATTGGGATTAGATTGAAATTTGACCAATCAGAGTAAAAGTTAAGCCCGTATCAGACTACGGATTGGGATTGGGATTAGATTAAAATTTAACCAATCACAGTAAAGTTTACTAATTTTAAGTTGAATAACTTTTACTCTGATTGGTCAAATTTTAATCTAATCCCAATCTCAATCCGTGGTCTGATACGGGCTTTACTGTGATTGGTTAAATTTCAATCTAATCCTAATCCCAATCCGTAGTCGAGTTTGGTGTTTCCACCGCAAGAGCGCGCTCACCCCAACTCGATTCTGACTCGACTCTAGCCCGGCTTTGACCCTCGACGGAAACATAGTCCGTGTGAATTCGTTAACGTTCGCGAACGGATAGTTGTTTGCCCGCTGTCTCTCGATGATTTCGAAACGTTCCGATCGTGATGCTTCTACTTCCTTTTCTTCTACGAGAGCCAGAACCTCTGGTTCTTCTTTTTCTTCTCCTTCTTTTTTTGCGCGCGTTTAACGACTCCTGTCTTCCGTTCCCATATACCCAATTCTGTCAGGACAAATATTTTCAAATGTACACAGCCAAAGTTTGAGGTCGGTAAGACTGCAGATTGCCTACAGGAACTAATATATATTCAATAACGTTTTACCAGCGTGTCAGCAGAAACACAACAAAGCCTGTTGACATAATTGGACAGCAGATAGTCTGCAGAAACCGAGCAGGGCTCACTAGATACGATTGACGGCAGAAACCGAGCAAGATCTGTGCGGTACATTTTGATAGATTGACAACAGAAGCCCAGCAGGATAGCGCGATACAATTTGATGTCAAACTGTCGGCAGAAATCGAGCAGAGCCTGCTGGTATATCAGCAGATTGATGGCAGAAATCGAGTAGAAGCTCGATTCTTGAATTAAAGTTATACATGTTGATCAATTAGCTTATAGAAGCCGCGCGAATAGCCAATCAACTTGAAATTTTTATGTACAAGTGGACACCGCATATGTTTCTTTTTCGAATGAATCCAAGAATCGAACCTCAGAATCTAGCGTTTTAAATCGAACAATATGTAATTTCCGATATAAGCTAGGCTGCGTTCGGGAACATAGGTTTGTTTTCTGGTCCTGCATTTGTGAACTAGTGCAGTAAACTAGAATGAGAAAAAATATGCTTGTCTTACTCTGATTTATTGCACTAGTTCACTAGTGTAAGAACAGAAAACAAGCCTCTGGACACGAGTGCCCCAGACTCTATTCTTGTTGCTCAACGAATAGATACTGAGGCACTCTGGTAATCTTTCCGAATGCAGCCCAGTGAGAAATGATTCGTCTAAACGACGTCGATTGACGAGTCATTTCCCGCTGGGAGCCTAAGACCTGGCTTCGCCAACGTCCCCTAACTTGAAGCTTAGCTTAATTCGTTCTTTGCCTCTTTCCAACTGTTACTTTAGAAAGAGACAAACTTGAATTAAACCGAGACTAAAGTTAAGCGACGTTTGATGAAACCGGGCCTAAGGCGGGGAGCACACACTTTTACACAAGTGCCCAAGCATATGCATAACGAATTCGATTGATCTATAAGCAAATGCATAAGGAAATGGACCAATCGTTATGCACGTGCTTGTGTACTTATGCAAAAGTGTGCCCCCTGCTTTAAGTGATGTCAATTCTTTGAGGCCTCGTTGCCTTTTCCCGTTGTTTTGCCGTTTTCGCCGTTGCGTCGATCAGTACATTGACCATGCATGACTTCTATGTGAAGTAATATACTTTGTTCTTTTATTTACAATAATGTTATAGAAAATAAAATGCATTCTGTAAAGAAATCTCTTGAGATGTCTCATATTTTTTTATAATATTTGTACACCCTTCATAATTAATGAGAAAATTGTTGCTTAACAATTTTGAGATCACTTCTTGCCGGTAGACGATTGCATGTCTCGTACATGTGAGTTTAATCAAAATTTAGATTGGAATCGCACCAATATGTACACCACAGATTAACATCATTTTCTTTTATCTTAATTTTTAATTTACGCTAATGCACGATGGTATGATAATATGCATATTTAAATGCAATATTAAAATTATATTAATTTATTGGTGTATATTGGTGTTTATTGGTGTCTGTTTGATATATGTACAGAACAAACTGTTATGTCGATATAGGAGGACAGCGAATCTATTTGAGATTATGGTTTGAAGGGACTCTTGCTACGGACTCTTGCTATCAGACGAGAAATACTACAAAGAAACAAATAATGAAGCGAGTGCTGAATGTATCGCTATCATCGATCAATCGATCACTACCATTCCAGACAATCAAGAGCCTCGTGTATGATCAAGAAGGAAAATTCGAAGAGGTATGTTACGCTATTAATAGTCTTCCTTTCTCTATGTTAGTCGATTATGCTACAAATCTTAAACCACATGCTCACGGTTGGAGCTTGCAGTCTCAGCTCGGAGCCAATTTGTTGTCTTTCTTAATGGGAAACATGCAACCAGCAGCTGCTTGTCGGGCGAACGGAAAAATCAGGATGCAACGGAAAATGACAAAGAGAGAACGGAAGAAGGACATCAATAATTTCCAGTCCCTTAAGGAATAAGGTATCGTTTGCACATCCTATACTTGGTGGGGCAAAGGACAGCAACGGCCCCTGTACAATACACAATTTGTTATGACAATTTATGGTATGACATATTACATTGTTTTAAACGTATTTGTCACTGTTGCATAATTTACTTATGATATAACTTACATTTCTTTTACAGAGGCTGTATGTAATAACACCGACATTTTGAGAAACCAACGCGTACGGATTTTCAAGTACAAATGCAGGAGGAACTCCGGACGGGTAAACGTGGCAGAGATTACGGAGCAAGACTCGTCCACGTAAACAATTGATAGGCGATACAACAATCGATAGGAATCTATGAAATGATGACTAGTCAGAACACAGATCCGTTAGTCATTGATGATAAAATTAAGTAAGAAATAACTTTTGTTTTCTATAATTTTTATATGTAATTTAACTAACACGTAGCCATGCATTGAATAGATTTATACGTAGTATACTGTGAAAAGATTCTATTTCTCTTAACATTGTATTCTTTTATTTTATTTCAATGATCATTTTATGAAAAGAGAATCCTCATTAGAATCTCATATAAATAAATTAGATAAACTTAATTTGTCAAAAATATACATTAATCTTTTTAAATGTGTGTCTTACTACTGTTTTAATAACATATGTAATTTGATATATTATCGAAATATTTATTTTGCCATTATTTTGTTACAGAGTATACACGAGTCTCCCGATTTTCGCATACTGAGACATGGATATGTAGCGGCCCGAAGTATTTACCGTATCGCTATTGTCTTATTAGAAAGACATCGCTAGAATAACAGTAGTAAAGATGAAACGACTGTACCAAAGCGGCAGATAATCAAAGCGGAGGCTCAAGCGGAGCGAACGGGACAGACGAAGCAAATAGCATGCCTGAAAATATCGATGTAGAGAATAAAGCTGCAACTTCAGCAGAAAGTAAGTGTGTGAAGAAGGGAAATGTGGCTAATTAGAAATCACAGAATCTGAATCTTTCCTTGAGCAATCTATTTAAAAAAATTAAGGTAACGAGGCTATTTAATATCTTATACTGTAATTAATATTTATTAATTAAATAACTACAATTACTGTAGTTGATATTTATTAATTTCATTAACAGTACAAAATAGTCACGTTCAGAAAATGGACACCGTCCATTGAACGCTCAGTAATTTAAGCTCTAGCTGATTGGTATAATTTTTAGATCTAAAAGAATATATTAAACAGACTCAAGAGCTCACCGAACGTTTAGTATGCGATGGGATTTCTGAACGTAACCAATATTTCAATTTTTATATGCCAGAGACTCTAGCAGAGTCTTAAAAAAATCTAACTGTCCCGTTTTAAATTAAATTTCAAATAACTTTCCTTATTGCAGTACAACAATAAGACAGTATAATTACTTATAAGGCGTACACCTCCGATTTGATCTTGATCACTTTTTGTTTATTATTTTTATTAATTAGTGACTACAATAGAGATGTGCTCCTTAATGTAAGTAATTATTATCAATAATATTTGTAATTATAAAAGTTGATCTATAAAAACACATATAGTGTTTGTTGAGAAAGAATAAAATTTTAAAATTATACTGTCTAAAATGTAAACATACTATATGTATATTTTTAATCTTGGCAAGAAAACATATTATTCGATTCGTTCGCAATCTGTATTTATAGACTAATTAAATGTAGGTATCCCGCCACTGCTCAATTTAGAGTGAAATTGTTTCGTATTTGCGATGTTTTATTAATAATTGAGAAATTAAACAAGTACATCAATAATTTCGTTCCGACACATACGATACGATGCGATAAGAAAAATCTGAAAACATAAAAAATTCGAAGATTCGAAAAAGCTACATTTAAATGCAAACATTTTCTCATAAAGAAACTCTGTTATCGCTCGTATTTTGTCACAGTAAAACAATTTATAATTCCAATTCTCGGTTACATCGATTCCTATCTCTAGTAAATGAATCGTACGAAATATCCGTCTCGAATAAAGACATCGTAATATTCGTAATTGACTCTGAATTGTGTGAATGTAGTCATCTTGTCTTTAACAAATGCCACACATTAGAAGTAGATGTCATTTAGATGTCATTTGGATGTCGGTTCTATTTTCTGAAAACGGAGAAAAACAGGAAGACTTGAAGTACAATTCTCGCGTGCAAGAGTTAACTATCTATTGAGCAAATTAACGCTTGTGTCTAAGAAGCTTACGAGATTTAACCATACATGGCTAGTCTAACCGATCTACGCATTTCCTACTCATGATTTGCAAGTCACTTATAAAACAGGTATACGGAATTATGTATGGTTAAATCTCGTAAGCTTAATTTGCGTTAATTTGAAATATAATATACAATATAATTGTATATGAATAGATCGGTTTCTCGGATAAAGCAAAGCACAAAAAATTCCGG